AGCATTTTCCTGTCTTATATTTTGCTTTATGTATACTAGTTTATCTAATTCTCAGAATAACTTTTATGAAACACATTGATTTTTTTCATACTACAGCCAACATATACTAGTATATATCCAAAGAATCTTCTTTTTTTCAGCTTTAATTGAGTTTATTGGTACATTTTAGGGATACAGTACAGTTACATTCATTGTTGGGATCTTGTACCTCTACATGACAAGTCTTGATTCTCATTTTTTTCCCCTTACTCCTGCCCTCCCTTCACTCCCTCCTCCCCTCCCCATCTACAAACACTTTATTTTCACCTTTTCATTGTCTCACATTTTTTTCTTTTCCCTTATTACCCTTCCCCTACCCATCCCACCTTCCCTCCACCTTTAGCTCCTTTCTTTTAATTTAATTGCAAGGGAAAAAGCAAAAGTGTGATTAGTATTGCTCCATGATAACATACTCTCAAATAATAGGTCAGGACTTAGTTTTACTATGTTAGAGAGAAGTGAAATGAATTTATTCAGACTATGAAATTTTAACACCTACATAGTCCTAAACATTGGAGTAGTATCAAATTTCAGATCATCTTCTTCAATAATAGTAATTATGATAATAATAATCTCATTAATATTTTCTGCAGTTTTTCTCCTAAATACTTTATATATGTTAATTGACTATTACCGTACAGTGATCCTATAACTAGATACTTCTATTATCCTCATTTTACAGGTGAAAAAACTGAGGTATGTAAAGGTTAATAATTTTCCCAGTATTATATAACTTTTCAGTGGTATATATGGGATTCAAATCCTGGGCTGTCTGTCCCCACAGTCCTTTCTCTTAAACTCTAATGCCTTGTTTGGTTTATTATTGTACTTGTGAACTTCATAATAAAGCAGACTTTGTATTTTTCATCTGTATAAAAGAACACAGATGCTCATTTTTATTTTAAATTTTAAAAATACCAAAATAAGTTTTTAAAAAAGTCTCTTTTTAAGGTTGATTCCAGTTCCAGTAAAAAAAAAAAAACCCACAAAAATTAATACATAGCCAACTTCGTCCATCAAAACCATTATTGGATTCTTGGTTTTAGAAAGTGAAGCCATGCCGTTTGCATCTCTTCCTAGCCTTTCACTGCCTGGATTGTAGAAGAGAGTTTTGGTTAACCACAGGTAAAAACTTGCTCTTTTCCTTAGGCAAGACTAAACTAATGAACCACATTATTGCTTTAAAAGAATAGCTAGAATCAGCTGCCTCTTAGTAACCTTTACCATGCCATCCATGTCTAGAACATGTGAAGTCCTATGACTGCAAGTTAGAGATTTTTTTCTAGTGTTTTCACTGAGAACACTCTTATTGAGACAGGAATATGACATCTGAGTGAGAGGGAAAAGGCTGTTTGCTAGAACTTCCAAAACGTAGCCAATGTTTATAGAGACAGTGCTGATTTCATATAGAGCTGCTTACTCCACGGCAGTCAAAAAGCAGAGAGAAAGAGGAGGGATCCAGGGACAATAATATGCCCACAAGGACACACACCAGTGACCTCTTTCCTCCAGCTATGCCCTCCCTCCTAAAGTTTCCGTTATCTTCCAATGTCCCATGAAATCATGAGCCCATCAGTGGATTAACCTTTTGTTGAGATCAGAGCACTGATGATCTGATCTCTTCTCAGAGGCCCATCTGTGAAGACTGTTGCATTGGGGACCAAGCCAGAGGAAAATTCCAGGTCCAAACCATAACAAATCCTGTAAAGTTTCTAATTCAAATGTGCAGATATGGATATAGATTCTACAGAAATTCAACTGACATGGGCATTGTAGCTAAGGTCCTAGAAAAACAGTAGTAACTCTGGAAGAGATCCTTAGGGTGTTTGTGTCTTGAGAGACAACATTAAAAAGATAATTTCCTGAATTTATTATCAAATCTGGGTGTAAAATTGTAAATAAATGCTTCAGAGGCAAGGCTGTTCCTAGATGAAATGTTTTCACTTGGATCAGGGGCCCTCAGAATACACAGCTATGATTTGATTCTAGAGATGATAATGAGTGAACACTGGCTTATTGTTAAAGTTTATTTCACCAAGCTTACCTCCTTGAAGGACACTGTATGGATTATAGGATTATTACATCTGCTCAAAAGAAAAAAAAAAGTTGGATGTAGGAGAAAGGTTTAATAAGATGCACCCTCCACTATGAAAGTAAGCATCATTGAAGAATACAGTAGAAGGGACTCGAGCCAATAAATGAAGGAACTTTTGGAGCTCTTAAACATCTGCAACCAGATCCTATGTATGCGATTTTTGGTATCTTAGAGTTATTTTTAACAGTAACTATTTTTGGCAGTAACCAATTTGGCAGGAAAAATGTGTGTGTGTGTGCGTGTGTGTGTGTGTGTGTGTGTGTGTGCCCGTGCGCGTAGATTGCAAGTGGCTGATTCGTTTTTCTTTCTAGTCAATCTTCTGGGACAGAATCTCTGAGGGAGAAGCTAGTTAGCAGCAACTCTATTTAGAAGAGTGTAAAAGGCCAAATACTAGGGAATCCTGGAAGGAGACGAAGAAGGATGGGACAGGGACCCACCTGGATCTGACTGGAGAGATGCCCTTAGTAGTCAGGAACCAGAGAAGTTCAAAACAGGAATCTCTGCAATCACAGGATTTTCACAAATATTTTTTTTCCTCATTGAGTTTATTGGTACATTTGAGGTATACAGTACAGTTACATTCATCACTGGGATCTTGTACCTCTACATGACAGGTCTTGGTTCTCATTTTTTCCCCTTGTCCCTGCCCTCCCTTCACCCCCTCCTCCCCTCCCCATTCACAAACACTTTATTTCCATTTTCTCATATATTTTTCCCTTACTACCTTTCCCCTACCCTTCCCACTTTCCCTACACCTTTAGCCCTTTTCTTCCTATTTCACATTGTCATTTATATAATTAGGATCTTATGTACTATTATAGTTTTTCACACCAGAGAAACTATTCCATATTTAAATATATGTGACTTATTAATTTCACTTAGGAGGATATCCTCAATATGTATCCATTTTCCTAGGAATGAATCTAATTTCTCATTCTTTATGGCTGAGTAGTATTCCATCTTATAGAAAAACTATGCACCTATGTTTATGGCAGCACAGTTTGTAATAGCTAAACCTTGGAAACAGCCCATTTGGCCATCAGTTGGAGACTGGATAAAGAAGATGGGTTTTCACAAATATTACGTGAAAGTATAAATACGGCACAGATAGCAATTGTTGACACATTTCTAGAACTTTAGAAAAGGGTAATTAGATCTGACTGAGGGGACTCAGGTATTTTACTATATGAAATATTTCCCTTCAGCGTAGTGTGGGTGGCCTGGCTTCAGGTTGCCCATGGCCTGGCTTGTCTAGGTCCCGCTTTCCTTTAGGGATCCCCAAATGGAAATTAGGCTCTCTTTTCAGTACCTGTGGTACTTTGTTCTCCTGCTCCACCCACCATGTATCACTTCATCTGTATTTTGCACTAGTTTGAATCACTGTAGTAAAACGTAATGGTTTCCTTGCTGGAGGGCATGGTGTCAGGTGCCATAAAGCAACATAGAGCAATGGCTGTGTTTGAAAGAGGTTCAAGGATGTCATGGAATTAATGAGCTCAGAAGAAAAAGAAAACTGAAAAAGCTGCTGTGATTTTAGTAAAATCTTTACATGGAATAGTGTTTAATTTTAAAATAGTTTCTATGTTTCTATCCATCTTTCACCTCTCAACTTACAGAAATATAAACCAAATCTAGGTGATGATTATTGTAGATTTTGAAGTTCAAATGACTAATTGAGAATAATCCAAAACAAATCCAGAATTTTTTCTCTTCCCTACCTTCTCCCCAGCTAATGTCAGCTCCATATATTTGGAGTACATTCTTAGGCAATTGCTGGTTTGCTTTTAATGTAAACACAAAAGAATGTACAGTACACTGCAGAAGTTCAACTCTGGTGGGAAGAGAGGCTGGTTTTGGGAGAAGCAGAAGGTTTGGCCTGATCATAAGATTTCCCATAGTCCCTTTACCTAGGGACTCAACTTGTAGTTTCCTTTCAGTGTCACTGGGTTTATTCTTATCTCAGATACCTGGAAGTCCATTTTCAGTCCATTCTCACCGCATTTGTCTTCCTACTAGCCAGGCAGATAATTGATGTCTTGGCAATGCTGAAACTTAATAAAATGTGTCATCTATATGGTTAATCCTAGAAAAACTTCACAACACAATAGGGAGTGCTACCACCCTTCGTCAGAGCAATGGCTGCCACTGTTTGGAAACAGCAGGATCCATATACGATTTCTAAGAGTAATCCTGAAGGCCCTAACCAAAATAATTGCTCTGAAAAGTAAAATTTTTTTTTTTACTTTCTTGGGAAGAAGGGTCAGCAGTCCTGTAGCCAGCCTATTTTCTTCCACAATGCTGAGTTCGCTGCAGAAAAGAACACTCAAGTAGGTGCAGAGCTTCCCTGGACTGGCTGGTCATGGACTGGTAGGCATTGAGAGTCATTTTTTACCTTTTTCCTTTTCCATCCCTCTTTCCTTTTTTAGTATATGTGCTGCTGAAGTGAGTACCCCTCTCTCCTGTTATTTCTTTTCCCTTCTTTCAGTAAACTTTTATTTTGAAAGAAAGTGTATGGTTTTAAGAAATAATGAAGAAATAAATTATATCCTTTGCTCAGTTTCTTGCAGTTCATCAGATAGAAACATGTAACAGTATCACAATCAAGACATTGACCTTGACTCAGTCAACACTCAGAACATTCCCATGGCCCTCCTCGTGTCCTTTAATAACCACAGCTAGGTCCTTCTCCGCAGCTGTGCTTCCAGAAGAAAACTTTGATATTAGTGGTAAAACAAAATATCTGGGAGGAAGTAATGTTTGTCTTTGCCAAGATGTTTAATACCCAGCAAATAAACCCAATTCTAATGGGTAATTGCTATGGTCCTTATCCCGGTTATTCCTATTTCTGCTGTGCTTATATTCCTAGGGAGATCCTTCTGTATTTTGCCCCTAAATATCTCATGTCATCAGAATTTAACTGCACACCTGTGGAAGAACTGATAGCAAGTATTGAGGTAAGCTCACCCTTTCTGGAACTCTGAGGGAATGACATTAGCCAGAATTTCATCTTAACTGAATAATACTGTGAAGTGCTGGAGGTCAGAGGACCTAGAACAGTTTATAAAGATGGGGCTCTTTATACCAACTGGGTGACTCACAGTGAAAAATGCCCATGGAATCAGTGTGGCTAGGGATAAAGTGTAGAAAAGCTTACAGACTGAGAACAGTTGGTTTCAGAGACCAACAGGACATTTTTCTGACATCCTTCCCTCTCCTTCACCAAAAAAAGTTTCTCGTCCTTAGATTTTCTTCAGTACCTGTCAGGAGGAGCTGGGCTGAGGACTGCACAGGTCCCAGAGCAGTAGTCTTACTAGAATCACTAAAACATTAAGGGGGAAAATTAAGATTTGTATTTCCCAGACCTCCTTATGGAGATGGTGCCATGTATGACCGGGGAAGAAACCTCAGTCAGCCACTTAGGATGCAAAGGGGAAGCCTCAAGTTTGTCCTCCTGCAGCAAAACCAAGTAATCCTCATGGGGCTCAGCCCTCAGGGCTAAGGTGCACAGTCTGAGACCAGAGGAGCTGCTTTAGATGGAGGGGGAGCCACGGCGGTGCAGGAGTGCCAGGGACCCCTTCACCTCCATGTTCAGGATTGATGGTAGAACTGATGGAAAAGCTGTCAGTGAAAAGAACACAAATTATTAACCTCACTCTGGTTCTGGGTGAAAACCTTACTTTTATAACTTACTGTTTCTGCCTTCTTTATCTTCCTCTCTCATCTCCTGTTTTCCCATGTGGCTCTCATTTCTTAACCAGGACCATTCCTGTCAGGGTCACAGTGATCTCTGTGAAGACAGACATAGTAGTCGCTGCTTAATTTCTGACTTCCCAGAGGCCTTCCATTCAGCTGCCCGCAGAAGCACTCTCTAAAGCACTTTCTTTGCATTGTTTCCATGAGCACACGCATCCCATTTTCTTGCCTCCCTCTCTCTCTCATCTTCTTTTTTATCTCTTTCTCATCTTCTTTTTTTTCTCTCTCTCATCTTCTTTATGGAAACTCTTTCTCTACTTGATTTCTGAATGTCCTACCTGATCTCTTGTTCTCATACCATTCTTTTCTCTATTAAATGCTATTTCTAGGTTACTTCATGTAGTCTCTGACTTTCAGTACTGTTCCATATGCCAGTAACTCATAGTCTGTTTCTCAACCAATCTCTTCCAAGGAATCCAGACTCCAACTGCCTTTTACATCTCACATTTTGAATATTTATTTTATAATTTAATTTTCCTTCCATTTGATTTTTTAATCAACACATTTCAGTCATGCCATATTTATTTGTGTAAACTGCCTTAATTATGTTTTTAACGAAATGAAATATAATTTCCTTAATTAATTTAATTGGACCCACATTTAAAAGACCCAGAGTACCAATATTGGCTAGTTATAAGATTTGATGCTTGTTTTTTACTAGATACTTGCATGGTATAACTCTGTTATAGACAGCTCATTCGGTAAAACTAATATCTTGTTCTGTTATCATTTATGAAAACAGCTGGAGCAATGCCCAGAGCAGACAAACAAAAAGCTGAAAATATGTTTCGACCAGGTAAGCTTCCTTTCCATGTAGCTATTTATATTCTAAATGACCTTGTGTTTCAAAGGAGAAATACACATTTCCAAATGTTAGGTGTGAAAGGAAATCAAGTTTGCATTTACTTATAAAAACTTAGATTAATGTGTAGAATATCTGATGTCACAAAGCAACATCTTTTTGAATTTTAAAATACAAAATTATCCACAACAACATTTGAAACATTTACAGTAGTACTGTATTTTTTACAATAAAGAGGATATTCTGAGTCTTCAAGAAATATAATCACTGAATACTTGAAACACTAAAGCACAAATTATAAGATTTTAAATTATTTCAGACAATTTGATCTCTGTGCATTTTTACTGTCTTAAGACAAATTTTAAGCTTATGATTTTTCTATTATAAAAGTAGCTATAAAAGGAATTACTAGTATAGGAAATGAACTTTTTTTATTTTTTGAGACAATGTCTCACTATGTAATTGAGACTGACCTGCAATTCACTTTGTAGCCCAGGCTAGTCTCGAACTCACAACTATCCTCCTGCCTCAGCCTTCCTAGTGCTTGGGATTACAGGTGTGCACCATCATGCCCAGTTTAGGAAAGGAATTTAAAGAAATTCACCCATAGTCTCAATCATCCATATGCTCTGATATTAACATTTTTGTGTGTTTTACTACAACTGTTCTTTGTTCATTTCTTACTTTGAAATGTATCTATTATATATGGACACACACACACACACACACACACACACTCATGAATGCAGGGCATATATTTACTTCCTTGTCTGGAGTTGGTACATGTGCCTAACTCATCTATATTCATCTTTTCATCCTCTGTCTCTTTCCTCCCTTCCCCCTTATTTAGATTTTAAAAAAGATTTTATGGCTGGAGAGAGGAAGACTATGGTGTACTTCAGTTCTACTACAGACATAGCTCAGTTCCCTCATTTTTTACTGGAGAATACTTCTCTGTGATGTGCATATGGCCAAGCTCTTGTACAGGATTAATGTTGGAGCCTAGGTGACCATGGAAGTTCCCAGACTCCTCACCTAGGTATCCAGTTGTTACCGCAGCCTAGAATCTTTATGGCCCCAGGGTTAGTACTGAACTGTTAAATATCATCCACACTTGTCTTTTCTCAAATGTGTACCCCAATTCCATCACTAGCACATGCATTATTAGCATTTTCTTCTACATGCTCATCCTTACAACCACAATGTAGAAAACAATCACACTAACATGCAAACTATAAAAACTAGGAGGTGAGTGGCAGTGCTTAAGACGTTCAAGGGACAGAGATGGGCAGTGCTACTTGACTTGTCTGTTTTGTAGGCATTGGTATTAATTTTAATATTCTCATTTTGTAAGTGAAAAAATTGTGAATTCTCAAAAGTCATGAATGAAGATTATTGAAACAGGCTCCTGTTTAACAAAGACAGAATAGCAAAAGTATTTAAATTTTGAAGTGTACCTAAATTTAACAGGCCTTGTTGATGTTTCCTTCTTATGTTTCTGACTGAGTGCCTCATGGAGTGCCTCATGAACTGTGACAAGTAAATAGAAATAGGAATAGTGATTATCATTAGCTTCTCATTACTGCTCAAACGAAAAGTGAATTTATTTTCTGAATGTTTTATTGAAAATGTGGCGATTAAACATTGTTAGTTTGATAACTTTTTGTCAATATATTTTAGCTAGAATAAAAGATAATTTACTTTTGGGCCAGGGATTTGACTCAGTGGTTCTGCCGCCTGCCTCACAAGTGCAAGGGCCTGAGTTCATTCCCCCACAAAAACGTTTACTTTCAATGTGTTTTGACCATATTTTGGCACTGTTATGATTTTAATCAACCAATGTAAAACTGTGATTGAAAACTATTAGCACCAGGCAATAAACAGTGCCATTCTGTGTGTTACCTCATTTAACTCTCACAACTTTGGGAGCTTGATAACCAGTCTCCAGCATAGTAACAAGGAAATGAAGATGCATTAAGATAATTTATTAATTTCATCATGAAAGTAAGTATCAAATTTGAAATTTCAACCCAGATTTGTCCTGCTCTAAGGTTCTCTTCATTCTACCAACCCCACCTTATTCTTATGCAGATTTTAACACCTGATACTTGGTAAGGAGTTTGTACGTGTTACTTGCAATAAGTGTGTTACAAGTTCTCAGCATACAGGTGTAGAAGAATTGCCTTAAATTTTTAGAGCCCTTAATATTATATCACGACATATGGTGGAGATGCTGATGGTGAAATCTTTATTTGTGGTAGGAGGGTTTGCTTAGTGTCCACCAGGAATTGATCCTCTCAAATGAAAGTCTATGACAGTCAGCTTGAAGAATTATCAAGACCTGGATCTTTCCACACGTCTTTATCTTTTGGTTAGAAATTTGTGATAATTGCAGCTCAAAAATAGTTTCCCCAAGATTGTGTATGCCTTTTCATTTATATTTCTAATTTTTTCACTGTTTACAGTATTACTAATAAAGAGAACTTTCTGGATCTTGGAGGCCAGAGTGAATACAATCCATGTTTATTCAGAGTGAGCAGTATTAGTATAGATGATTAGAATCTGCCTAATATTTAGGGCAAATGGAATTCAAAGAACCAAAGCAAGGTCATTAGTCTAGATCAAAAACTTATGTTAAAAGGAAAATACAGAGCAAATGGAACCATGACTTCTCTAAGAATGAACTAGTTGGGTGATCGATAGTTTTAGGTGCATGGTTATAAAAACCACACATATCACTTTTTTAAAAATTTCAGGATGGTGTAAGCAGAGATGGTTCAACATACACAAATCAATAAATGTAATAACCCATATCACCAGAGCCAAAGACAAAAATCATACAATCATCTCAGTAGATTCAGAGAAAGCATTTGACAAAGTCTAACACCCATCCATGATTAAAACTCTACAGAAAATTGGAATAGATGGTCTTTATGTCAACCTGATAAAAGCTATCTGTCAAAAAAGAACAGCCAACATTGTACTAAATGAACAAAAACTGAAAGTGTTCGCTCTAAAATCATGACCAAGATGAGGATGTCCACTATCACCACTCTTATTCAAAAAATTTCTGGAAACATTATTTACAGCAATTAGACAAGAGAAGGAAATAAAAAGAATAAGGACAGGAAAAAACGAAGTTAAATTATCCTTATTTGGGGGATGACATGATATTTTACATAGAAGACCCCCAAAATTCCACCAAAAGTCTTGTAGATTTAATAACCAAATTCAGTAGTATAGCTGGATACAAGGTCAACACTCAAAAATCTACAGCCTTCCTGTACACAAATAACAAACTCATATATAATTTTTTGAATTCCACATAGAGGACTAATCTATGCCATGTGCTTTTGGGTGTGTACTTTTAATAAAGAGAGCTACATCAAAACAAAAGAGGGCTCTGTATAAGTCACCTCACCCTGATCCATGAGTAGCTTTCATAACTTCTCTTAGAGCAAGAGATATTTCAGGGTAGCAGCATCAGTGGATTTTCACTACCTGTACCAAACCAGCAGCTTTTATTCTTTCCACTCACAAGCCATCAGCTCCATCCAAAATGAGCATCCCAACATTGCTTCAGCCTACATATGCTGACTTGCCTCTGAACCTTTCCCTGCTGTATTTCCCCAAAATAGTTACCCACTCTCAATCCCTTGAAGACTTTCCCACCCTTCATAGTGCTTGGTCAAAGAAAGAACCTTAAAACTTCTTGTTAAAATTCTCGCCCTGTATTCTGATAGGCTCTTGTGTTTCATTTTCTCCCCAGCTAGATTATAGAGTGCTTGTATCCTAGCAGCATTCAGTACCTCTGGATACATTAATTATTGTGCATGAATCAAAGTTGATTGTTTCTGCTCTAGTGCCTGCCTATCCGCGTGCATATCCCCATTTGCATAGTGCACAATCTGTGGATGTCATAGGTCTTCCTTATTTTAAGCAATCTTGTTAGGATTCTGGAGGTGCACACATGCTGGATTTGAACTTTCTAAATTCAAGGTAGAAAATTAAGATCTCACTGCAAGAACCTTTTTTTCAAATCTTAATTCTGTTCTGAATAATGGAGTTTAGAAGGAATTGCATTTTTGGTCCATCATAAATATCTCTGTAACAGTGGGTCCAAGCGGCAAAACTAAAGCCTCTCAACCAGTTGAAATTCTCTTCTCAGCTAAATTAAAATGTTAATACAACTAGATGTCCTTTTAAGTTCAGCTTCAGAAGTTGTGAAAGTTATTACCTTTTACAAACTCTTCCTGGAGAGTTCAGCCTAAGAAAAGCAGAAAAAACCAGGAGACTGGATCATAGTCTTTGAAGGAAATATAGTTTGCTCATTATAAAAGGCTAGACTTTCACAGATTGAATATGACTTTGAATGTAATGTGCTTCACGTCATAGTCTGTTAGCAGTGTTGGGGTTTGCTTCAGCTTTTGTCTTTTTATTTTTAATTTTGAAATACTATTTTGAGATCTACAATGTATGATTCATAGGAAATTGCTGAAATAGTACAGAGAGGTTCCATGTATCCATGACCCGGTCTCCTCCATAATGCTGCAATTTTGCATAATTATAGTATAATACTGAAACCTAAAAATTAAAATAGGTAAAAGTGTATGTGTGTGGTTTTAGCATGTGTACAGACTGAGATGCAGAATTCCTATAACCACACATCTCTCCCTTGTACTACCTTTTTACAGTCACACTCAACCTGCCCTCCACTAATACCTTTGACTCCCAGCAACCACTGGCCTTTCCTTCATCACCATCATTTTACCACTTCAGGAGTGCTGTAGAGGTGGAGTCTCACAGTTTATGTCATTTTGTCTCATTTATTCATTCAGCATGCATTCAGGACCATTGAAGTGTGTCTATAGCATGTTCCTCCTTATGGACGGTGAGAAATACATCTGTCCTTCCAAATAGTGGTGTTTTTATATTTTTCTTTAATTTTATTTGTCTAGGGTTGTTTTATTATTGCTGTTATTTATTACTAACTGCATTAATAGTGTATGAAAAATGCAAATAACCAGAAGGTAAATTAGCTACATAAATCCAGGTCAAATGTTATAAGTGAGGACTTTAATGCCCTTTAACAGCAACTTCTCACCTTCCTCTTAACTCTAATAATATCTAAGCCTTACTTGGGAGCACAATGCCCTTTGTCCAATAAGATATATGTGCATACTTGTACTATCCCATTATATTAACCAGAAAGTTCTTGAGGGCAGAGCCTACCCTACATATTTTTGTATCACCAATAATTAAATTTAGTACCTTGAAATTTATGAAGTAGTTAGTGGATATTTATTAAGCAGACCTACAGATAGAGATGGTGTTATTTGTTCAAAGGAGTTTATAAAAGAAGAGAGACTCATGAGAGCAATAAGTGCCAGCAATAGTGAAATGGCAGAGTGTGGGGGAGGATCCGCACCACATCTGGGGTGGATGTGGTGGAAGGTGGCAGTGGGGAGCAGGATGAGCCTAGAGGGTAAATTTCAATTTATCCTACAATTTTCTTGCAACCCAATCATATTAGAACACAGAAAGTGCCTTATTACAGAAAAATCAAAATATTTATCAAAATGGGATTTTCCCTGTATTTCTTCTCTCAGAGTATCCCTTGGTCTTCTTATGTTGACTCAAGCAATTAATGTCACTTTAAAAATGGAAGCATTTGTGGGCCGGGGATTTAGCTCAGTGATTCCACCACCTGCCTTGCAAGTGAAATGACCAGAGTTCGATCCCCAGTACCTAACAAACAAACAAACAAAATCGAAGCATGTGCCCTCTCTGTCACCTCTTTCTTCTTCATGAGGGGCTCAGACACAGCACACAAGGTTGGAAAACAGCCAAGACCCTTGAATTTGCAAGGGGCACATGGGTAACTGTTCACACTCCGTATACCAGGATACAGCACCCAAAAAAGAATGAGGGAGTAGCATTCCTCATTCTGTAGTTTCTGTGTTTATTGACTCTGTGGTCTCGAGTCATAAGCAACACCACAGTTTCTTCAAGTACTTGGCTATCTCTCATTACCTGTGAGTTACTGATATTGTGGAAAGAGGGTCACAGACACCTGCCCACTTTGAGTCTTGAATAGTTCTGTACTGCTGGTGGGAGAATAAATTCAACCCTCACAGAATTCCTTCTTCATCCCAAAGAAAAGATCTCTGAGCCTAATTTTTTGTGCCTCTATAATCCTTATAGAGGCATATTTTGCTTCTTCCCTTCAGAGAATAAGTCCCTTAAAGGCGTCAACAGTTCAGACTGGCTGTCACACTTCAGTACAGAGTTAACCCTTGAGACACATGTGCAGAGTCGGCATGTAGAATATTTTTGTGATATTAGCCAAAATAGTAACATTTTAAAGATACACTTTTAAAACACATCCACAGATCCAGAATGTTTACATGGTCCAATATGAAAAAAATATGAAGAGAAAACTACAATCCATTACCAATGAAGCAGACAGAAGAGGAATACTTAATGAAGTCTCTCTGGTACATTGTGAACATAAAAGAAAACTTACTGAAGATAAACTGAATAATCTTCGCTTAAAACTGGCAGCATTGTTACAGAAACTTCAGTTGGTGAGTGATGAAATTTTATTACTCAGAATATGCTCTGGAGAAAGAGCCTGTGTTAATCAGCTTTGTGTTACTATAACAAAATACCTGTGAAAATCAAACTAAAGGAGGAAAGGTTGGTTTGTTTCAGAGGTTTCAGTCCATGGCCTGCAGGCTGTATTCCTTTCAGGTCTGTGAAAAGGCAAAAACATCATAGTGAAAGGGTGAGGGTGTGGCTGAGCAAAGCTGCTCACCTCATGGCAGTCAGGAAGCAGAGAGGAAGGGTCCATGGACAAGACACATCCTTTCGGGTTACACCTCTGGTGAGCTGCTTCCTCCAGGTAAGCCCCACACCCTAACATCCCACTTGGCTAAGAACTCATCCGCAGTTGAATCCATTTTGATGAGGTTAGTACCTCCGTGAAGCAGTCACACCTCCTGCCACCCCTACCACATGAGCTTTTTAGGGGGCATTTATGATCCAAAGCAAAACAGAACCCTTGAATATATTCTTCTACTCTTGTCATTTGCATACTGACCTTGGACAATTCATAAAATGATGCTGAAATCATAAATGAAATTTTGAAGGTATTAGAACATTTAAAATTCTTCTTTTCTGTCTTTAAACATTACAGTCTTTGCTTATGCTCTTGGTAGAAAACACCTTTGGTGTCTCCTCGGTGATGAATATCTTCCAACTTTTTTAGAAAGCAAGATGTTTTATTTTCATTCATAAATAATCCCTACAAATATTAACAGTGTTGTGAAAGATCATGTAAATATGAATTACTGTCATTTTTGCTAATATATTCTAATACATAAAAAACTGAGCTTTTGTAATAGATGGAACAAATAAGGAAAGGCCTGTCTTCTAGGACAGCACATAGAAATGCTGGATAAGGCAACAATTAAAATATATTAGCCAAGGTGGAAAAGTATTTCTGTAAGTTCCAGAAATAAGAAATCCAAGCCAGAACAGAGAGGTTAGGAAGCACATGGCCTTTTATCCTCAGGTGTAGACCCTGAGTTCTGGGGCAGAGACAGCATCTGCCCAGGTCATGCAGGGTGAGAATGCAGGGACTGGGTCCCCTTAGAAAGCCTGGAGGATTTACCAGGGGTGGCTTCACTTATGAAGGGAAGGATCTGGGAATTTGCCGTATGTCAGTATAGAATGTGCTGAGCGTGAACTGCCTGCATTTCAGTCCTAACTGTGAACATTGCAAAATGAGAGTTGAGTATATTGCTATATTGCCAAAAAAAGAAGCTCCCCACTTTGATGACCTCCGAAACAATTAAAACACCACCATATTAAAATGACAAGGATGACCAATGCTGTTTTCATATCGTAGGAGTCATATTTATGCTTCAGCCAGTTCTTCAGGATCCTTATTGCTGTGAAAATGGGATTTGTGTGGAGCCCCATTTGGCTCTTGTGGCTGTGTCTGATCCCCCCCATTACGTTTATTGGTACATTTAAGGCAAATGATACGGTTACATTTATCACTGGGATCTTGTGCCTTTACATGATATGTCTTGGTTCTTATTTTTTCCCCATAGCCCTGCCCTCCCTTCGCCCCCTTCACCCTTCCCTATGGCTGTGACTCTTTTGACTTCTAAAAGTTGAGATGTTTACATGTAAAAATTTACATGTGAAAGTTTAAATGTTTGTATGTAAAAGGTCCACTGTGTAACCTGGCACATGGTGGACTTTCAGTGATGGTTGTCTTAATAACAAGGAACACTGGAGAGATCAAAGAAATTTGATATCATAAAAATCCAATATTACTTTCTGAGAGGGTTTCTAAAAATTATTTGTTCTCATTATAGAAAAGCTATGTTTGGCTAGGGAAAATGAAGGAATAATGACTCCCTAAATTTAAAAAATTACCAGATTCTGTGCCATACCCCTGGATTTCCCAGAATAGCCAGGGCAGTTATATTAACTAAATTTGCTTTTGATACAAAGTTTGGTAGGGATGTGAAGGGCGTTAGACACCACAGTCTTAAATGTTTTTACCTAGAATCAGTGTAGAAGTACTCAAATGGCTCTGACTCAAACATATTTATGTTTTTTTCTACTTGAAACTTCCATTTATACTTTCCCTGACCTCCAGAGCAACTGCAGTAGAATAGAGTAGAGAACAGAGAGGAGGTGGGCACAAAGCACACAGAGTGGGACCGGCACATGAAGAAGCTATGTATAAAATCAATGTGAAGACCGAGGGGGAGGTTCAGTCTGCCAGGAGAGAATGTAGCCCAAAGATAAGACTGCATCTAACAGGATGAGAACTTCCAGGGTCGGAGAGGGTCACAGAACATCTTCGGGATGAGTACACTGGGAAATCTAGGTGAATCAACACCATGGAAACCCATAAACAGGAGCAAGACCCCAGTCCAGGGTAGAAGTAAAACTGAAAGACATTTACTAGAACCAAAGAAGGAAAAGAGAGAATAGGATGGTGGTGCTGCGTTCTGTGGGTACGGTAATAAAGCTGGGACTGTTTCTGAAAAGTCCTTCCTAACAATTCTCTCATCCAGCTATCCATTTGGAGAGCCAGTTGGCCCCATAATTGGGCCTGAAGGAGACAGATTTGGATCAATAAAGAGAAAGCACATGTCCCCTTGATATGTCAAAGACCAAGGAGCCCAGGAAAGGGAAACATGAATTAGTCCAGTAGGGAGAGGGGAAAAGGAAGGACAGAGGGAAGGGGATGGACCAGTGTGGGGAGCCAGAGATTAAGGGAAAAGAGGACACCCTGGGAGGAGGAGCAGCAGAAGTGGCCATTTGTGTGCTTTCTCTGTTTTTGCCTTCAAGGCTAAAGACCGTGGATATTTAAAGTAGGAGATGAGAGCCTGTAACAGCGAAGGATGACACTGAGTTGGGGGTTTTAGTGATATGACAAGTAATTTAGAAAAGAAGGAAAACGCCAGTGACCAACCCCACTAAAGAAAACCTGATCCAAATTCCTCTCCACCCATGAACATAACATGCGCTTAAGTGAGAAAACTCTTGGAAAGGTTAAAAGCATCATTCAAACACAGGGTGGGTTTCTTTGCCACATGCATCATAGAGAACACTGTCGGGAGGCCATCTTTGCTACTGCTGTTAACCTGGCAGCTTCCTTCCCTGATGCGGCCCTTACTGTTGTCTTCCAGGGTGGCCCGGCCGGCGACCTGGAGCAGATTGATGCCTATCTGGAAGGTTTACTTGAAGACGACAGACTCCTTTTCCGGGATGCTTTAAAGTGACCCCAGGTGCAGAACGTGCTGTCCCTTTAGAGAACAGTGAAAGAACATCTCAAAATTAAAAGTTTGAAAAGGTTTTCTTTTTTTAAAAAAACACTAATAAGAAAATCAGAAGAAGATTCTTTTCAAAACCTTTCCTTGTATCATCTTACTGTAAAATTTGCCAGTTTAGTTCTAACACATTTTACATTTTAGACTAAAGTTTAAAGTTTATTTTCTAACTATTCTAAAACTATTTATCTTCTACAATTATTATATTCTATTTTCCTGCTTCTAAGTATGCCTATTCTCTCCAACATAATTTCTAATTTCCATGTGAGTCCCTAAGAAAAATGTCACTTGTTTAAATTTTGCTTTAACTTAAATAATTTTAAAAACTTGGACTGGGGATTTAGCTCAGTGGTGCCGCCAGCTGTCTTGCAAGCTCAGGTCCTGAGTTTAACCCCCAGTACGAAAAAAAAAAAAAAATTAAAACTTGTAGTAGACTGTTTTTTTTTTTTCAAAATCAACATACAAAAACTGCAGAATCACCTCCTTTTGAAATGTAGTTGAAAAATGGTATGTCCCTTCTTTACTATAGCCAATACTCAATAAAACAAAAAATGTAAGAATCTGGGTATTATTATTCCAGCACACTTGCAATCCCAGCATCTGGGAATTGAGGCTGGCCACAACTACATGGCCAGGGCTACATAGTAAGTTCAAGGCCTGACCTCATAGTGAGACCCTGTGTAAAGACACACACAGAGAGAGAGAGAGAGAGAGAGAGAGAGAGCGAGAGCGCAGGCGCACAAGCACAGGGCAAGGCAAGGTAAGGTAAAGCAAAGAAAGGAAATGCAAAAATCCTTTAGAAAGGGAAAAATCCTTTAAAAACATTGTAATATAGGGGCCAGGGATTTAGCTCAGTGGTTCTGCCACCTACTTAGCAAGGGCAAGGTCCCAAGTTCAATCCCCGATACCAAAAAAAAAAAAAAAAATTATAATATAGCTTATATGAAAAATTTTTGTTAGTTATAGTAAAAGAGTAAATATCTTAGGCATAATATATATTCATATTATACATAAGAACTGTATTTTTATATTTTATATATATAAGAGATTGTTTTATACTTTAATAACTTTTGTTTGGAATGTTGCAACCTTGGACTAAAACAATAAAACATTTAATAATCAGTGCAATTGTATAAGTTTTGGTGTGTAGTAGTTGTTTAATAAATGTTCAGTATATTTAAAAATATTTTGTGTTTTTATTAGTACGTGTTTGCAGGTATAGTGGTTCCATTCACGGTGGAAAGTAGGTACATGTATATAACGCATCTTAGTTCTTTTGATTTCCCCTTCACTTCCTTCCCCTTCATCTCTTGGTTCTTTCCTATTGGCAAGGGATCCGTCCTCCTGTGAATGGGAGACACAGTGAGAGAGAGAGAAGTCTTCTCCCTTTGTGTTTTTAGCTGTTTAGTGTCTTCCCAAGAGGCATCCTTTTACCGACTTTCTTATTGAAATTTCACTTAGGTATATTTTACCAATTCCTTGTGAATCTACCTCTAAACAGGGTGTAGAAAACCGTGCTGATTATTACATAGTTGAAAACATGAATGTAATAGCATTCAAAAAATGCTATTTGTTTTTTTCTACTCAAAAGGCATCAAGATTGTCTCCCGACACTCAGGAGCAGTATGTGTGTCAAATACCTGTCCTGGGAGATAATATTTTTTAAAATTTAATTTATTGGTACATTCTAGGTAGACAGTACAGTTACGTTCATTACTGGGATCTTGTACCTTTACATGACAGGTCTTGGTTCTCATTTTTTCCCCTTGTCCCCACCCTCCGTTCACACCCTCCTCCCCTCCCCATTTACAAACACTTTATTTTCATTCTTTCATTTCCTCATATTTCTTTCTTTTCCCTTATTACCTTTCCCCATCCTTCCCACTTTCCCTACACCTTTAGCCCTTTTCTTCCTATTTCACATTGTTATTTATATCATTTGGATCTTAGGTACTGTTATAGTTTTTCACACCAGAGAAACTATTCGGTATTTACACATGTGTGACTTGTTTATTTCACTTAGGAGTATATCCTCAACATGTATCCATTTTCCTATGAATGAATCTATTTTCTCGTTCTTTATGGCTGAGTAATATTCCATTTTATAGAAAAACCACATCTTCTTTATCCAGTTTCCAACTGATGGGCAAATAGGCTGGTTCCAAGTTTTAGCTATTACAAACTGTGCCACTATAAACATAGGTGCACATATATCACTGTGATATGATTCTTTTAATTCTTTTGGAAAGATACCCAGCAGAGGGCTGGCTGGGTCAAATGGAACCTCTAATCCTAGTTCTTTGAGGTATCTCCATATTGATTTCCACAGTGGTTGCACCAGTCTGCACTCCCTGGGAGATAATATTATTCTTTCTTGCTCTTTATGGTTCCATTGTGAAAATATCAAATTTACTTAAGCACCCTCTTATCAATGGGCATTTAGATATTTTTGTGTTTTCAGATTTACATGCACATAAAAGTGAATACCCTTGTAAGTGTGTTACATGGATAGCCTCATACGTGTGCAGTTGTATCTGTTGATTAAATCTCACAGGGTAAATTGCTGGGTCAGAGGATGTATACATTTTATTATTAATAGATGTTCCCTAGTAGCACAAAATAAACATTTTGTTAATATATATACTCCTTCAAATGTATGAGTGCCTGTTTCCTGGCACCTTCTCCTATCCAGTGGGTTCTCAGAGTTTTACCTTGCTGATCAAATAGATAAAAAGTGAAATATCCTTGTAGGTTTTGTCTGTTTGTGGCACTGGGAGCAAACCCGGAGCCCCATACATTTTAGGCAAATGCTTCCCTCTTTTTAAAATTTTACTTTGAGACAGGATCTTGCAGAGTTGCCCAGGTTGGATTCAAACTTGTGGATCCTCTTGCCTCAGCTCCGCAAGGATCTGCACTTACCTGTGTATGCCACCATATCTAGCAATGCTTGTAGTTTTAACGTGCATTTATTTATGACTGGTTGAGCTTCTTTTCAGGTTTCAGGGTCATTTGCATTTGAAAATTTGGCCTTTGTACACTTTTCTGTTTGATGGCAAGTACATTTCTTATTAATTTATAGAGCTATTTTCATATTAGGTAAATTGTCCTTTTACATTATGTATATTACAAATATTTTCTCACAGTTTTTCATTTTTTAAATGTTTTATGGTGTTTTTAGTCATACGGGATTGAAAACATTTTTGGTTTAATATCCTTTACTCATGCCTTCTATAACACATAGACATTTCCATGATAAATTATAAAAGTTTTACTTTATTTTCTTGTAAGAATTTTAATTATTATATTATCAAACCTTTGATTCATCTAGATTTATTTTGCTATAAGAAGTCCAACACCTCCCTTGATGTGAGTATGTGCACGTGTGTGTGCCCATGTGTGTTTCCACATAGCCATAGCAGTGTCTCTGAATTATTAAATAACCAGTCTTTTCCTTGCTGACCTACAGTGTCAAATTTTTGTATGTTTAATTCCCCTTTATGTGAGAGCCTGCTTCTAAAAAAATCTTCTTTTCATTTATATTTTCCCATCTTTCTTCTAATGCCAGACTTGCATTGCTTTAGTAAGTCTAGTTTTTCTGTATGAATGTACTTGTTTAGTTTTCATTGAAACTTAGAATTAGCTTTTTCAGTCATAACCCCCTCTAAATTTTATTGGTATTTTCATGAGTTTGTGGAGATAGTATACAATAATGTACAGAGGATTATCTTTTTTTCTGAATGTTTTTTGAAATCAAGTCTTTCTAAACTCAAGCCTGAAATACATGAGTTTCAAGGCTTGGTGTCTTTCAGTGCCATTTTTTCTTTAAGTATCTTTCAAATTTCTTTACATGCTTATTATAATTAGTTTGATTACTTGTTTGGTCTATCATAAATGAAGATATTTCTCCATTCTACTTGACTGGTTAATGTTTTATGCAGAAAAATTCCTAATTTTGGAGCATAAGTATTGTACTCAATATTTGCATTTAGATACTAGAAATAGTTTAAATTTTTTCTGCATTACTAAGTAATCATACATATTTTAAACATGCAAAATTTCTAAAAATACACCTAATTTATATCAAGAAGCAATTTCTACATCTCATGTCCTTGTATTTCTTGATCTATCTAAAGTTTGCCTTCCACAAGGGACATTCCTGCTACTTGAAAATTTACTAGGAAGGCTATTAAAGAAGAGGAGGGGGTTCAGAATGGGGAGGAGAATGATAAAAGCTTGTTACATAACGTGCAAAAACACCAAAATAAAAACCACTATTTTGTATAAATAATATGCAGTAATGAAAATCTTTCATTAATTTCCTCTTCCACCATCACTATCCATTTCTACTTTAGCGTAAAAACTCATAATTAATAAAAGTTAGTAGTTCATGAGCAAGACAAAAATATCCATTCTGACCACTGTTGTTTAATATAGCTCATAAAATTTTAGCTAAAATGTTTAGGCAACAGAGAAAAGGGGTACAAATAGAGAAGGAAAACAATTACTCTTGTTTAAAGATGAGATAATCCTATACTTAGCAGACTCTAAAGACTCTACCGAAAGACTTTCAGAGCTGCTAAGTGAATTTAGCAGTGTAGCAGGATATAAAATCAACCAACACTAAACAAATAATTCACATTAGCTTAAAAAATACCTAGGGATCAATCTAGCCAACTTCTACAGTGAAAGTTTAAGAACACTGAAGAAAGAAACTGAATAAGACATCAGAAGATGGAAATATTTACCATGTTTGTGGGTTGGCAAAATTAATTTTGTCACAATGGCTATATTACCAAAAGAGGTCTATAGAGTTAATAGAATCCTCATTGAAATATCAATAACATTCTTCATAGAACTAGAACTGTATAGAATTTGTATAGAAACGTGAAAGACCCAAAACAGCCAAAGCAATCCTAAGCAAACAGCACAGCTGTAGAAATTGCAGTATATAATTTCAAATCACTCTATAAAGACATAGTAACAAAGCAGCATGGTATAGAAACAGACTCAGACCAATGGAATAGAGGATACAGAAAAAAACCCACACCAAATACAACCCTCTGATTCTGGAAAAAAGAGCCAAAAGTATAGGTTGGAGAAAAGTCAGCCTCTTCAGCAGGTG